TTAACAACATTAATATAGTATGTTGATATTACCATTATCCCTTATTCCAATTAACATAACATTAAAAATCAACAACGGCATTAACTGTAGCCAATTATCACGTTTTCTAATTTTGTAAACTAGCATTAATATCAATAACAATAGTATTTATCGTTGTTGTCATCAACTCAGAGTCATGTTTATATTTATTACTAAATAGTATTTCGTTAACTCAGTTATTAATCACGTTTCTAATTAGTAGTATGTATCTGTATGTGAACTAGTCGTTCTCACAGTTTTCGCCAATCTCATAAATTATGGCATCCGGCTTTAACAAACTATCATTTTATCATTTGCACTGTGGAACTTATGAGTGCAACAAGTCAACCTACCACCTTGTCGCTAGCTGTTCGTTACATGTATAAATGCTGCCTGAAATTTTTTTATTTGTAATTTCCATACTTTTTTTTATTTCAATGCACTACATTTTACTTCATATTTTTACATTTCCTACTGTATAACTATCTTAAAAAGTTTTACAAACTCACCACAGAAAAATGGATGTTGGCAAGAGTTAAGCAGTTGATAACCAGATGTGGGGATGTTTCCATTGATATGCCGCCAATGACAATTGCATCCTGGGTATAATTAGCACGATGGAGGATGTTCATCAAATTAATCAGAGCTAAATCCTAGAGACAAAAATTACAGAAGCATTTTGTTATAAAAAAAGTATTAATATTTATTAACATTATAATTACTAAGCAATAACATCACTATCATTATCTTCTTTGAAGGTTATTACAGTATTATAAAATGCTCACGATGAAATGGTTTTGATACATAATGTGAAGATATAGATGGATTATTTTCTGATATCTCAACGTATCAATTAGATTCTTCAGATCGTCTTCAAGAGAAGATGATATACAATACAGTAACTATAAATTTTCATTATTATCATTATTAATACAGTAAAACTTTCAAGCACCGATTTATTTAATTAAAGGTTCAAGACCATTGGCTGATACAGAGAGGGTAAGAATGTCATGTCTGATGTCCTTACTACATATTGCAAACTGCAACTGACCCACTGTGCCATGAGCTAATCTAGAGTGGGTAGCAAGGCCATGTCTGAGACACCTACTACAGACTGTGGCTGACCCCCTGTAGCACTGGCTGATATAGGGAAGGGTAACAAGGGCATATTTATGTCCTCACTATAGATTCCAAACTTCAAATGAACCACTGTATCATGGGCTAATCTACAATGGTTAACAAGGCCATGTCTGATATCCCCACTACAGACTGTGGCTGACCCCCTGTAGCACTGGCTGATATAGAGGGAGGGTAACAACTGCAGCTGACCCCGGTACCACCCATTTGCCAAAAAAATGTTGGATCATTGTACCCCTAAAGAGCATTCACAATTGAACATTTTCAGAACTATCATTAATGCCTTGCCTTATGTTCTGAAGGAGAGCTGAAGAGGGCTACACGTGAGCAATCAATGGCCTTCTTCGCATCACCCGCAACCCGCCAAAATAAACTTGCTACATTTGCAGCTATCCAGTTGTTACGGTTCTGTAATTAGCATAATATAATTATCATTATTTAAAAATTAACATATCCAATTAGATATTTACATACATCTTTTTGATACCTATTAACATATTACACATTTGTTGCAATCATAATCAATCTTCCTCAGTAATGCTTGCCAATTATTGTCAATATTATGTAATCAACATCAAGTACTCATCAACATTGAAATTGCCAAGATTTCAATTATATTTGTTTATATTACTGGCATCAACTTCATCCATCATCTTTGCTTCATCACTGCAACAAACATATTGTCAATATTATCATCATAATCAACATAATAACTACAGACTACATACTTCTGATAAAGCAATTGCAATCTTTGTTC